TTTGGGGGCTGACTGTCTTTCTGTTTTTTTTTTAAGAAAATATATATTTTATCCAGATGGAAAGGATTATTCTGTATCATGTGGGTGTTTTAAACACTCCTTTTTGAGAGTTTTATTTTTTAATGATAAGTAACCACACTGAAAATGAAACAAAAGTCTAACTTTCCATTGCTATTTAAAACCTCACCCAAAGCCTCTTATTAAAAACGACAGGAAAGCGCGATGAGGAAAGAAGATAATCGAACATTATTCTGTTGACGAACGGGTCACTTCTGCCATGCAAATCCCCCCTGAGCCTGATTATCACATGTAAATAGGTTTGATTTCCCTGCTGCCTTTTCCTGCCTCATTTGCCAGGGAAATGTATTACAGTTGGATTAAACAGTCTTCCATATACAGTGCTGCTCAGGCTCCGCTTACAGGTGTGAGGTAATGCATGATGGATGCAAAGCATAAACTTTCTTTGGGATCTCAGTGACTAATAAAGGTAACTCAGCCATGCATAATTGTTTTATATAAACCTATTAATCATCTCTTTACATTTCTAGACTCCTTTTGACAATAAAGAGTTAATTTATTTGAACTGGAACATGTTGGTATTAATAACAGCTTAAACACCATTTCAGATTGTATTCAATTCTTTGAAGGGTTCATTCCTTTAAACTTTTTTAGAAGGTGCCACCATAGATTTTTATTTAGGTTCAGTTTAGGGCTTTGACAGGACCTTTGCAACTCCTGGCTTGCTTTTTCTTTTTTTTTATGCAGATGATTTCATGGTTATCTTGCTGACTCCATGGTGCTTATCTCTGGCTGCAAAAAGAAGAGTTACTGTAGAACTGGTTTGCACTTGCATGCTATGTTTGGTTTTCTCCAAACAGATTGCTCTGCAGTATGACCAGACATCTCATCCCATCTGTCCAAACAACCTGCTTCCATAAGTCCTTCCGTTGTTTTTAGGTGCTAATTTGCAAAACTAGAAGAGATCTTACTGCATGGGGTCTTATCTGTGACACGTAGTTCTTTAATTTTTGTATTTAAAGCATTTCTTTAGGAATATTTTATGTCAGTATTATATTGAGATATTTATTGAGAGATGTCAGTCAGTCTTCGTGATATTGAGGGTAATGCAGCCCATGGTTTTAATGTAGTGACAGGGAATGGGATCATTGTTTTGTCTTTGGAGCAACTAATAAAAACCGATCTTCCGACCTGATGCGTAGATGAAGGAGGTCTAATATAAAGCTTTTCTGTTAAAATGTTTCTGATTATGAAGCACATCAATAATTTTTATATGGAATATTTACCTAAAAAAGAAGAACATGATTATCAATAGAAAAATATACAAATTTAATCAAAGTTTATGTCTTTAGTTTTTTTCTTTTTTTTGACACACTGCAACAAAGTGAAATCTAAGTTTATTTTTCTTAGCATAAGAGCACTTTTTCTGGAATTAAGCAGTTTCGTGATACACTATGCCTATGGAATAAAGGAATTTATGTTTAAAAAAATGATTAAAAAAAACAACTGCAGTCTTTTATTTCAAGTGCATAATATCTAATTATCTTATTTCATACTTGTAATTCCATAATTGTAAGAGCAAAAATGCTCATTCCTTTGGCAGATCAACTTATTTACCTTCTCAAATTAAGGGTAAATACACTTAATTTAACACATTTTTACTAATTTTTAGATCTTTTTTGCAGTGCAGATAACTTCATTGGTTGATGATCTAAAATATTAGCAGAAAAAAAAGCCATATTTTTATTTGTGTCTTTTTGCAGTTTGAATCCTTGTTTGATTCGTATCAGCAGTGTTTCATTACTATCCTGATATTCATGTACCAGGCTGTAATCTGCCGATGTGGGTCAGATGAATAATCTCTGCTGGGCAGTTTGCCTTCCATAATCTGACCAGCCTTTAGCGCTGCCTGCCATGGTTCAGATGATGGCAGAAACTTAAGCTCATTTTAAACATTTTACAAAAATCTTTGAATCAGTTTGACCTATTTAGTAGAAAACTGGATGTAATTTGAGGAATAGAAATCCATTCTACACATGTTCCTAACTCTAAAACAAATATAAATTAATTCAAGCATCTTTTGTCAGAACCTTTAAGTCGCAAACATTGCACCCATTTTTCAGACTTAAAGATTAATTTCCCTCCATGTAGAGTGAGATGGATGGCAAGGGAGGCAGAACAAAAACCCTTCAAAGCTCTCTGATGGAGAACTGCAGCAACCATTAGATAGCATCTAAACGCCGACAGGTTGTTAGGGAGAAGATAAGGTAAAGGCTTTTCCTGTCAACCATCAAAAAAGGTGAGCATGTTCATTTAGTAAACACTACTGGGACCTTAAATGGACCTGTTTGCATTGGTCTGATCAAACTTATATTAGGTTTCTTAGCAATGAACACTAAAGTAATGAGAAGGGGAGGAGCTAGACTTTATGTTGTGAGAGAAAGTGATCTCAAGGGGGTCCAAAGACATGTTAATGAATCTGTTTTTCGATCTATTGCATTTGAAGTTACTAAACGTTGAATATATTTAAATACATGAAACACAGCATGGCAAATATCAGCATGTTTATGTTTTTAAAAATGGTTCACTGAATTTCTTGCAAACAAAGAAGCAAAATAAAGTTCAGGCTGTTCATTATTTTACCATGTAAACATTTATTGGTGCAAAATTTGTGCTTTTTTTTATTTTTAATTTTTATTTCTCCTCCTTTTTTATTGCAAATGTTAATATTTGATTAACAATTTAACGGTCCCCTCCCCCTCCCCAGATAATATATAGATAATATATCATATTATTTAACATCGGTAATATTAGATAATGCATCTTGCTTTTAGAATCAATTGTTTTTTTAGTGTCAAACTTTACACTGTCATCTTAGTTTAAAGCTTGTTAAATTAGATTTTTCCTGCTGCATTGACGGATAATTTCATTTGTATTTAGCGACTTTTTTCCTTACATGTCACAGTAACAGAAAATAGTCCTGCATTGAGATATAGATTTAAAGGTATAGTGGAGGATTTTCTTTTACCAGGTGGATCATTAAAATAAGTGGTCCTCCTAATTGTCAGTCATTCTGGTGATATGTTTCCCTAAGGCCGTCCTACGTGCTCGTCCCCATTTTCCCTTACCTGTGGTGAGTCTGACAATAAATAAATACAATAAACAATAAGAACAATGTTTTGAGGTTGTATGCTGTGCACAATATTAAGTGAGCTTGATAAAAAACTTACAAAATTAAAATTAAGTGTTCCTTACTTGGCTATGCTTTGCACACATAACAATGACACTAGCCAAACCGGCTAAGAAAGAAAAATAATTCTCAGCAGCTGCACCTGTTACAGAAAAAAGTGTAAAACTGAAAAGTGCACAGAATTATTCAATCACACAGTGTTCTGAAAGTGCATTGTCCTCTATTCTGCACTTTAGATGAATGACTGTTTAGGTGCCACTGGTGGTAGAACTGTATCGATACTTTTGAAAATGAGTATTGTATCAGGATACAACTTTTCAGTATCAATACTTTTTTGAGTATCGATACTTTTGACAACCCTAGTGTAAGTGTGAATGAGTATGTTTTTATCCAGAGACACTTTCAGAACCAATTACAAAATGAGATTAATGTTGACTTTAGATCACTCGTACTGTATGTAAAGGGGAACGCCAGTTTTTTTAATTTTTTTTTTACATTGGGCCCTCTATTTTATGTTATTACATCATGTTCTCCTCACCCATATGAGTTTTGT